GGCCGACGGCGTGTCTCCAACCACAGCTGCCAAGTATTTTGACCCAATACTGAGCTCAAAAAGTACACTGCGGTAGTCCACGCTGTCAAGGAACATCGAACGAGCAGACTGGCCCCGTTGGACACAACCGAACTCAAGTCAACAACCCGACAACCCCAAGTGTGCCTCCGCAAACGACGCCATCGCCGCCAGCGCACCAATCTCCGCCGCGACTACCACTATGATCACCACCAGTGATCAAACTCCTGACGTCCCGTGACCGTCGAGCACCGCCACATCCACTATCCCTGCTGCAACCCCCGCGAAGACTGCCACTCGGCTACTACCGATGACAACACTGCCGACTCCCTGCCAGTTACCAGTCTGGCGATAAACGTCCTTCCTTCCTTTCAGTGGCTCAAACTCGATTCCAACTTGTCCTCATTGTGATCAGGCTTTCACCCCATGCATCACCATTGCCGCTCCCTTGAGAAGCCACCACGTAGAGACTAGCGAACCAGTATAAAAAGCCCCTACATGCACACTCAGTCATTGCATGGGTCCACTCGGCCACAAGCGTATCCACGACGGCGGACTTCACCGCCACGTCTACACGCCAAGCCCGCCTTGTATTTCCGGTAACTCTTCAGTCTCCAGGACTCCCAACTTTCCTTCCAGTAGCCTCGCCATCACCAGCGGCTTCAACACTGGGACCAACTCGGTAGCTACCAAACTTTCCTACCCGTACTGCACCTGCAAATACATATCACGCACCGGCCTGACTGGTTGCTTGCGAATCCGTCGCACTGACGCTGGTGAGCCAGTGTCAGGAGCACCAGCACACCCGTCGCCCCGACTGCCTGCACTGACCACGCATACTCAGTCGCCGCATGGACCTACTCGGCCACGTGCGCCTCAATGCAACTCTTCGGTAAACCCACACATAGCAAACCCCGTCACCACGTGTCTTCCCAACAGTCCATACATCACGCGCGAACCCGCCCCACAGTACCAACCAAAGACATCTCCCACGCAAGTTAAAGACGTGTTCTTCGGTTCCTCCCCCATGTGGCCTATGTGGTACTCCAACGCGTGTGACATACACGCGGTTTTTGTGTTGAAACCTGCTGCATCGCGTGGGGGAGCCAGGCCATGTGCGGCACGCGCATATGGACTTTACTCTTGCGCCCGACCCCCGCATCAGATGACTGACCGGCTCGGATAGCAAACTAGTGCCTGTGAGAGGGAAGTGGAGCCGAGTCTGGGGACTGCATCTCCACGGCATTCAGTGCACTTTCCTCACTATAAACTACCTGACGCGCCCTTAATCTGTCTTGATGCGGTAGGAGCGGTGGCTTGGAAGGCTGCCAACTGATGGGATAACAGTTCTTCTCCTAGGACGGAGAGTCAGGCTCTAGACGGCTCCCTAACTTGGCCTCCATGGCAGTCCGACTCAGTCAAGACCCGAACTCTTCCCTTTGTTATCTGCGTGAAAACCCGGTCCGCCATGCGTGGGGCATGCGTTGACGGGTTGATTGGTCGTCAACCGCTCCGGCTCTCTTGACTCTGTCTTGACAGTGAGCTCAAATGGGTGGGGAAGGAGAGGGCGCTGTAGGTGCATTACAAGTCTACTACCACTAGGAACTATCCCACGCGCAAGTCACCGTCCCTGCGCCCACCCTGTTATGGGACCCAAAGTGGACATCCCCGGCAAGAACGATCGAACTGTCACGTGCTGCTCTCGTCTCCGACGATGGACTCCTGCGCAACTTCGAGAGCCCAAACAAAGTAGACAAATGGTTCCGGTGCTTGACCATCCTCCTTCTCCCCTACAAGGGAATATGCCAACACTCACTGTTCTCCGTCCCATCTATTCTTTCGCAATAGCCTTGGTGTCAATTCGGGTATCAAGTCCCAATGCGCCACAATCGATGTATGCTACCCAGTCTACGTGCGCAGGGATCTCATCGTCCCATCAGTTACTCTCTCATTGACCCTTTCGATCAACTCGGTGTAGGTCTTTTGGAGCAAGCAAGCATTTTGCCCTAGGCGGTCTACCATGCAGTGCATGACGTCACCTAGCCTACGCACTATACACGGCTCTTGGCCCATGAGACGTTGACACGGCTGTCTAAATCGGCAAAACGCAGGTGGGCATGGTTAAGCCGGAAGTTAATCAATTGTTCCAATATGTTTGAAGTCGAACGTACAACTGAACCCGCCGCCGACCCCACTCGGACTGGTTAGCATTGTGGGATCAATGCATCCCGTCAGTCGATTGCATACACGTCATTAAGTCTTAGCCCTTGTGTGGCGTTCTCTATCTGGTACTGAGGGCATAAAGCCTCAGGCAGAGTATAATCAAACGGGGTTTTACGACAGCCGCAGGCTCTGTTGATAAGCCGAAAAACAGGCCCCAGTACCTGTGAGAAAGGCAGTCGTGGCATTTAAGCAAAGAAAACCAATGCAAGGCATAAGCGAGAGCATACGTTATCGATAAGTGCAATCTTATAGACGCGTAAAACGAGTTGAGATATCTCAGAAAAAGGTGGCGACGGCGAATTACTGCTGAAAGACGGACACGACGGTGACAGTTGACTACTTTGGCGCAGGAAGGGAAATTAGGGGATGGTGGCGGAAAGACCTCCAACGCCCGATTATCGGTGGCAAGGCAGAAAATGGGGTTAGGAGACTCCCGAGCGAAGTCTTGCGTAGGTCTCGCGCAAGGGACTGGCGTAACATGCAAATATGAGGTTCAGGTGCTGACAGACAGCGCGAGCACTAGTCCACTGAGCCTCAAAATGTAGGTCCACTGTTTGCTCAAGTCCAAATGCCTCCTCTGCGGAGGCGGTCCCGGAGTTGTCAATGGGCTGAGGCTGCGAAGGTAATGAGAGAGATATATAGGATTATCACGTATATTACAGCTACGACCGAAAAGTTGCGGTAGCCCGCAATCGGTGCGGCAACTTCCGATGCCATGACCACTAGCAACTTTTGATGGTTTAAAGAACATTGCACTGCCAAATGTAAGTTAGGACAAATTATAAGTTAGAAAATAAGTACAAGTAAGCGAATGTTGGCACAATGGTCAACATGTTGAGTCGCCGTGTACGCATGCCACACGCCGACCACGCATAAATACACAACAAAGACAAGACGACGGTGTGACACGACGGAAACTGTGACTTTGCTCATCGTCAATGCACTTCAGAGGTTCCAAGGTAAATGTATTAGGAAGGAGAACTCCTAACACGGCAAAGCAAATGTTGGGGACCGCTTGTGTACAAAATGCCAGCGTACTTTGGTGGAATTCCTCTGCTCAGCATGGTTAGTAATACACTTTCCTTCATCAATCGACGGAGGACGGGACTTGGACTAATAGCCCAGGGGCAGACCCTCAGAGTCAATTGTTTGAACGCTTCACTAGTCAGGTGATTAGGATGAGAACATACGAAACGGTTTATAAAGTTCTGCATAAAGAACGACGGTTTCTCCAAAAGTGCTCTAGAGCAATAAAGTGCACCCACAAATTAACGTCAGTCAACCCAAAAGAGGTACTACTAACCCTAGGAGCTATTTTTCTTCCGGGCAGACGAAAAATGAACGAAACCATTCTCGATACTGGCGCAGCTCACAGTTCTGTCAGCCCTCGGAAACCCTGTCAAAGGACCAGGCGTCGACAGCAAATAAGAGGAGACAAGGTCATCGCTTAAACCATGTTTCGTGTGGTTGTGAATACCAGACAGAGAGCGGAAGGCAAATCATTAGCACCCAAGCATCCGCATGAATACGATTTATCAGTCCCAGTCCGGACCAATCTGTCCACTCCTGCAGAAGTAGGTTGGAAAATACCCCCAACTTATGCAAGCAGAATGGCGATGACCGGATGAAACTGCTACTGCCACTTTGAATACGCCAGCCCATTATATGTTTATACAGACTAAGAAGAGTAAGCAATAGTGCAACAGTAGAAGCTTCTGGTCATCTTGACTAATATTGTCGAGGTGGAACACAGTCAGTGAAGTTTGAAAGTGCACTTGGGAGCCGTGCGAAGGAATGGGCTATATATGGAATGGATCGAACAGATAGAATGTTTGGTGAAAATCACCAGAGGGCGTCCGCGATACATTTCAAGTCGACGTGCTTGAGTGCGTCTACTTCTGGATGATGGTTCCGTCTTATCTTGTTAGATGGCAAACTCAGGTTCGTTTGTATCGTTATTCATGCCATAACCTGATAATTTTGTCCGTTCTTCTATTGGATCTAGCTTAGGTGTGCCAGTATAGCTAGGAAAAATAAACTACGCGTATGTAAAGTAGTTAGGGCAGGTAAGACTATTTGACTGTAAGGCGAATTTCGAAATGAACGCAAAAGAACCTCATAGAACTCGATCAGGTAAACATAAATTTTCTAATGTCTCCTGACCCCTTCAGCCAAAGACAGCTGTATGAGGTCAACTTCCTGATTCACATAAATTGTAAACTCTTGCTTTCATCCTCAGACAGAGTTCACCAATTTCGGAGAAATAAGAAGCCAGCATAAGCTAGATGGACTGGGACCTCCCATGCAAGAAACGAATGAGTTGGTAACATTCGGGATGTAGACTCACCAGGTAAGTGATAGCGAAACGAACTTTCGTTAGCGGCTGGTCAGCGGTTTCGGTGGAAGAAAGAGGAGTGGAGCATTCCAGGACATTGCACATGGGTATGGAGAGGGACTTGAAACCGCGAAAGAGTTTAGGGCGACGTGAAGGCTGCAGGTCAAGACGGTCTGGAGAAACGGCTGGGAGGGAAGAAAACATGTGGAAATAGCGGGACATGCCGAGAAATTTGAGATTAACTAGAATTCCAGCATAAGGAACAAGGTTAGAAACAGTCACTTGGAATCAAGAGACTTGCGCAGATAAAAACCTGCACATTTTTTATAACACTCTAAAGGCGTAAATAGGCGTACTTACTCAGCTGCACTTCACGGGTAGAGAGACCTCGCAGTTGAGATGCCCGATATTTCCGGGACTGCAGAACTAACAGCGGAAGATCAGACGCACCGGCAGCAGTCTGCGCGGGTAGATTCACGTCATCAGTGTCGTCAACAGCGGGATCGTATCGACCTAGACGGCACACACGGTGGAGTGTGGAGAAATTGAGGAGTACATGCATTCTGGTGGTAAGATGACAGTTTTATAGTTCTAGTTTGGCCAATATAAACCATCTTTTGGTGTACTACAGCAACCTCCATGATGTGACAGACCGGTGCAAGTAACGGTAGAGGTTAACACGAACGAACAACTTTACGGACACAAGCCAAGACGAGCAATAAGAACATGTTTCCTCAGACTTCCTTCTCATCCATCGTCTTCCGTTCGGCTGTATTTCACTTCACACGAAACATGCAAACTGTAAGTCTTTGACAAAATAAAAGAAACCTAGGAAGGATGAGCGAAATTCAGTCACGTTAGGGAAAATAAATTTTAGAAGATTGATGAAGAGGAGATCGGGATATTTTTAACAGGCCGGCGGGCAAAATACTGTTAAGCAGAATGAATAATCATGCGATTAAAAATTCCGTCGAGAAATGCATACAGTTTAGCTATGATGCACTGCAGTCATGATACAGCGGATATAAATCTAAAAGAGCTGGGGCAAATCACTCAAATGAACAAAAACGGAGAAGGGGAATCCGGCCACTCACTGTGCTCGCGAATAAGGACAAACCGCAAGGGCATATCCAGTTCTTGACAGTCCGAGAGACGCAGAGTCAAGTCTAGAGGCTCACGTAAAGTAGGAGCAACCCCTGCATTGTCATGTGATTCAGTAGGGTCTATCCATCGTTCAAGTCTGTAGGCATAACCAACATGCTGACGCAATTGCCGACGCTTTATGGCGCAATCCATAACCATCTGCAGCGTCGCACTGACGGGAAATCGGAGAAGGCTGATACCCTGAGCCAAATGTCTGAGGGCGAATTTTAAAAAAAGAGCAACCACAAGTAAATTTCAAGAGCGTGGATGCGTTTGGAGAAATAAAAGTACTCGGTCCGACTGAGGAAGCACATTTTAGAAATGCGAAGGAAACGTCTGATACCTGGACCAGTCGTTTAGCGAACATCCAGTTTCTCTCACGTCAAACAAGAGCGAAAAATTCATGCAAAAAATGCAGTGGGAGTGGTTATAGGAAAAAGACATACACAGTTACAAACACCAGGGATTCACTGCCATTTTTGGCGATTGACTTGTCGATCTCGCGGTCAACCAGGGCAAGCGAGTCGAACTCGTACTTCTGCATGGGGTCTGAAGGTTTGAGAGGGGGGAATTCGGCATCGAGATCATCTTCCGTGTCAAACATGTAGACCGATATTTGATCTACGATTTGTCTGTTAAGAGAAATTGGTTCAGAGTCAAAAAAGTAGGGAAGAGAGTACCCCGAACAGGTTATGTGACGAAAGGCTTACTCCGCATCCTTAATGTGACTGTATTCAGCGTTAAAGCTGCCGGCCGCTGATGGATTCTCATTGAAGTACTGCCATAAAGCCAAACCTACAACGCCGCGAACGGTGCAGTTGGAGGACGGCTGTACAGAAATGCTCACTTTCGGAAGGCCAGTAACGCGCCAAAACCATATGGTGATGGAGTTTTGCCGTTGCGGCTTGGCTTTGACTGTTGAGTCCATCTCCACACCAACGGAGCGACCGTCGAAGATGGCAAAGTCAACAAAACGATTGGAATTAAACTCGCTTCCACTGGCAAGTGCATTCTCCAGTGCGATTGTCAACGCTGATTTCCGGTTTTTGGCAACAGGCAGAGGGGGTGGCTGAGGCAAAGCATCTGATAACGCGGGCACAGACTGTCCGACGTCTAAACGTGTTGAATAATAGCAAATAAGTGAAGCGGGTAATTCGCAGCAGACGGCTAAACGAAAATAAAACGGTGACTTCGGAATAACGAATGATAACGGAAGACAAAGACGGGTAAGAATGAGAATTCTGACCGTCTAAATTAGTAGGCGTTTGGCACTGGGAGGTGGACTGCTGGTTTGCCAGATTTTGCCGCTTCTGTTCTAATGCCCAGGTCCAACGGTTGAATTCTACCTTTCAAGAAATAAAACCAGATACCTTGAACACTTGGAAAAGGAATTTCTGGAGATTTTCGACGTTTAGGTCTGCCAGGCATGGAGTTTTCTGAACCGCTGAAATCGGAAAAGTCGGAATGGCAAGGGTCTAATTGGAGTAAAGACAAAACACAGGCAAGTTTACGGACCAACAGATTATATAATAATGGGGCAACTAGAGAGTACTTGAAAATGTGCACGGTAAACGAGGGTCAGAAACGAGTTCTGCACTCCTGTAGTGCGGAGTTGAATACGATACGGCAAACGGCTACATGACCGGGATTTAATAGAAAAATACTGTGACCATGGCCATAAGCATAGGACACGCAACCAGTGCATGCGTAAATGTACTCTCAAAAAATCACTGGAACGAAAAAGAGAATGCCGAGGGAACCGTTTCTACAGTCAAACGATTTCCTCTGATGCCCAACATAGATAAGCGAGTTCTAACGTTTACTTTCATGTCCGGGGTGGTTTTCCAACTGGAATGCTTGTCGGCTGAGACAGTAAAAGGCGAAGCATTCACCGCGCTTAACTACAAACAAAGATCGTGGACAGGCTCTGGGCAAAACCCACCCTAATGCAGCTATTTTGACGCCTCAAAACAACAGTTGCCCTATATGATAGGAGGTAGACCGCAATTACCTCCTGCCTACAGAACGATCTCGATAACAGGCTTCTATGCACCGTCCAAGCCATCTCAATAGTGTCGATGAAAATCATGAATGCCACCCGTCTGTGACTTTCCGGACGGCCACGAACTTATAATCCCCACTCTCGATAGACGTGTATGTCACACTGATCTCATCGCAATAGGAATCCCAAAAAGATAGGCAGCAGATGGAATGTTCACACCATCTTTCCGAAGCTCATCGAAGCCTTAGTTATGGTTCGTTATCGACAAGTCTTGCAAATCACAGGATCTTCCACATACGCGGCTTAGACGATAAATCAGTGGAATTATCGATGTACAGCAGTACTCCTTAAGGATTTGTGATAAGGCTGTCGCTCTCTCAGTCACATCTACAACTTGCAAAGGTTGACTGACAGTCGCCTGTTCTTTTGTGTTAGGCAGATTTTTGGTCAAACACGAGACTATGGTTTTACCCATAGTCTTTTTTGACTTTACGCGGGGACTGGCTAATGGGATCTCGCAAGAAAGGCGCAGAAACCTCAGTCCCTCATAGACAACCCAGAGCTAGATTTGGTAGTGAGTCTGCACGCAGTCAGATGAAGTCATTCCGCTAATCGGACCCTACGCTGATTAAAAAAAAACTAACGGGTGCAAGTTTGATACCACCGAAGTAGTGAGTATGGGCTGCTGACGAGACTTAAAATCAGCTTTCCTTTGTTCACAGGCGTCTCAATGACCTAAACGAGCGGAACCCCCAAATACCGCATACGACTTTAGTTCAGTCATACCGCACCTTGTTCTGGAGGTCCTGGAAAAAGCTAGGAACAAGACAACTAAACCTCTTTGCGTAATTTGAAATTTGTGTTCGTAGGATAGACACAAGAGCTCTTGTGTCTGTGCCTAGGCACAGTCTTCGACTCTGAAGTACTGGGAACAGCACGAATACTCCGGACGACCGCACAAAAAGAGGGGTAGCACGGTTGGCATGGATTGAAGCCTACTTCGCCAATGTGATCATATAAGAAATTTCCATGGGTAGCTCCGAAAGTACCCAAACAGCGAATGAGCACGACCTGAGTACACAACTTCCAGTATTATTAACCCCTGGAACGGATTGTCAGCAGGGGACTTAACTCCACGTGGCCACCACAAGGGGGGCGTCTCGAGTTCGAGCAACCTTTCATCTTAGATTCCGTGCTCTTCTCATTTCTTGTTCGGTTTTTTCAGTTGATAACCTTTTTCGAACAGCTAGAGCACTTTTGCTCCGGTCGTCGTGTTTAAGGTGCTGGTGCTAGACCTCTCGCTGGATTCCCCAGTCAGTGAGATATTACAATCGACACAGGGACCACAGTAGAATATCAAGAGTCTAAAATTTTCTGATTCCTGGATATATCTTAGTTTTGACTGAAAATTCGCAAACGAATTCGTATTTGCGCACCTGTTCGGCGGCGAATCCTCAGCAAAAAGTGCATCAAAACTTTCACAGAGAATTTCGCAGGTTGTGGTGTCATCTGAGACAATGAAGTTTCTCCGAACCAGCTTCAGAAAATCGTCCAAGTCACTCATAAAAATACTGAAAGGCTCATGTCCGAAGGTTTGTAGATTACGTCTCGTGTGTAGGTAACTCAAACAATTTCGCAAAGTTACGAAACCTGTAAAAAGTAATGCGCATATGGTGTTCGAAACTAGAGATTCCTCAATCGTTTGGTGCCTCTGAAGTAAGTTTACTGTTGATTCCTCTGCTAGTCGAAATCTAAAATGGGCCGTTATAGGAGGGTCAACGAACAAAATTACCGGCCATATTAGATGAATGAAACCATGTAATACCTGTAACTCGATGTGCATTTTCCAGACCTCTGTCCTGAAAGCAAGCTTAACCGAAAGCCTGACCGTATGCCTAATTCCAACTCCAAGCCCAGTATTCAAGGTGCGTTAAGTCTCAGGTCCTAACTCAAAATGCCTTAGCGGCAATCCTAACCGTAAATTTAAACTTAAAACTTAATGCCAACCCTAATCCTAACTCCAAACCGTACCCCGAAACGTCCACCAATGTGACAAAAGTGATACAAACCTAAACATACGCCTATTTCCCTCAATAAACTGAACTGAACTGAACTGAACCAGAAAGCTAAAGGAAGGCCGAAAAATAGCTCTTGCCCTAGGCCTGAAGATGAACCCTAACCCTAAAGCTAAGCATAAGCCTGAACTGCCCTCCCCTCCCCATCATCCCAAAAGACCTAAGAGAAAGCCAGTAATGTAACTCTGAATCTAACCGCAGCCCACGAAACTAGGTATAGACAAAACATGTTAACTGCCAAATGAAATCAGTTACAGTGCATCGATGGTGGCACATCGACAAACCTGGATATCGTTATAAGACCCTACCAACCAGTGGACGCAGCCTTGTTAGTACTTGAACGATTACGCTGTGGAAAACCCTTCCTGCATCTTAAAAGTTAAAAGTCTTCCATGTTCTAATACTGCGTTCCCTACCATCCGTTTTGAGGACGTTATTAAATCGGTATGATTTACACGTTTGTGAATGACCTCACGTAGACTTGATGATAGTTCTACCGTCATTGACAAAGATGTTTATCGTGTGCTCCAAAAGCAGGCGCGATGATTTGCGCGTGATTTAGTGTATGATAAATTTAGACTTGCGCAGCATCCACACACTCTCTCCCCCCCCTACCTGGACCCGGTGTTAAGACAGAGTCAAGAGACGGTGGAGGGCTCGGGTAGATGATACGGTCGAGCCTGCCTTTTAGCGCTCCACCCACATCCCCAGGTCAACACAGCATATGATCAGGATTTTAACCTACGACAACACAGGGGCCGGCGCGTCCGAAGTCACCCCTGGCTCGGATCCCACATGGTGGGTGTGCCATAAAGGCCACATTAAGAAGGAGCCATCGAAACCTGACTCTTATATCACCAGCCGTCCGCTCCACACAACGCACAAGACTGGGCTGACTGCGAGGTCCAAGTTATCCCATAATTTGGCAACCTTCCAAGCCATGACTTTTAGCTCACCGTTATAGCTTCAAGCGCGTCAGATTGTTTGTAGTGAGGGAAATGCTCTGAGCCGGTTAGTTGACTGGTGCGGGAAATGCGAACGGTGGCCGACATATTTAGTGACCTTGTCTGCGCGCGCCACATGCATAACCTGGCCCCCAAACACGAGCGCCAGGATTTCACACAGCGGGGGTTGAACGGCTTACATCTAACATCGTGAGAATGCCGTAGGTCACGTTAAGAAGGAGCCGCTCCAGCCTGGCCCTCAGCCCACCAGTCTGCCACACCACACAAGCACGCACAACTGGGCAGACAGTGTTGTCTGAGCTGGGGTGTCGGCCAAAATAATCCCAAGCCACTGTGCTTGACGCACAGTGATAGTCTTGGACCCGGATTCGCATAGAAATGGAGCCAGGACGCACATTTGGGTGGAAGGTGGCAATTGGATGCTTCAATTCAATTCAATTATTTTTATTAAAGACCCGCCGGGCTCCCATCAAAGCTTGTAGTGGGTGCTGACGTTGCGTGATGCAGATGTTGGTGGGAGATGTTCAGATGTAGATTAGCCGGCGGCTGTCTGCCGCGGGTATTCGTGAATGCGCATGTGGCCTAATAGGCCCGTGAGATAAGTGACTGTGTGGGTGCAGTGAGGGCAGTGGGTGCGAATGCGTATGGCGTATGCTGGCGCTCCAGACACTGACTCGCCAAACACTGTGCGATGGATTCGCAAGTGCCCGACCAGGCCGATATGTGGAGTGAATGTGCGGGGATAGTGTAGACAGGACCCACAGTTGGACACCCTTACATCACCAATAGCGACGCGGTTTTGAGTGATAAGACAGATCAATCCACCGCTGATATTGTTGCTGCTGATGGTAGATTTATGGTAAATACTAAAAGAAAACGTGGGTGTTACTGCGGCGTCGACTCCTACAAAAGCGTTATCGACTGGAACACAACGGTGCATTACAGCGGCTGGATAAACTGCTGCTGCTACTGCGACGAAAGCTACTATGACAAACTGTTCAACTGTAAATACTGTGTCCGTTACCTCCAACGAAATTTGCAAACTTTAGGAATGCTAAAGCTATCCGTGCTATCAATACAACTGCCAAAAATATTGCGGATACTACAATAACTACTACCACTACGACTGCTACCGCCACGGTTCCTACTATGACTACTGCTACTACTACTACTACTACTACTACTACTACTACTACTACTACTACTACCGCGACTACCGTGACGACTGCTACTACAACGACTTTTACCACTACTGGTATTAATAGTTCTACCTCTACCCTTACTGCAGCCACTGCAACCATTATTAATGCCGCTAATGCCACCGCCATTACTACATCTACTACCACTGTTACTACTACTACTACTACTACTACTACTACTACTATCGATACTGCTACCGTACTGCAACCTGACACCTGTCCTTCGGACGCTTAATAACAGGAGGATCACTGCTATTATTATGGTAATAAAACTACTGCTTTTACTCCCGCTGCAGCTGCTACCAATGCTACTAATAGTGCCAGTGCAGGAAGTGCCAATAATATCGCTAAAACTTCTAAAACTAACACCCCCTGTAAATACAAATTTTAACTAATAAAGCTAACATTGTTGCTACTGTGATACAACTGCGATGACTAATTCTACAACCACTATTGCGGGAAATGCAAGTTGTCTTATCTGCTACTACATCTGCCACCGTAGCCTCCGCCATCACTACAATTACCGGCACGACTTCCACCACTTCACCTGCTGCCGCCATTTCGGCGGCAGGTCCAGCTGTTACTACTGATGAAAACAATCATCACTTCCACTCCTTCTGTTAACACTTCTGTCAAGGCTAATACATTATCGGTTGCTTGTACAGTTGGTGAAGTCAGCCGACACTGGTACCATTTAAAAAAGAAGACAGGCTCTCCGGAAGAGGTTTATTTAAGTGCTGACGTTTCAAAGAGCTGAGTCGGCTCTTTATTGTCAAAGCGTAAAATGCACTTCATCGATCAGAAATTTAATTTAAAGTGGCAGTTGTGTTGGCCGGCCTCATGCTGATCGATTTTTCTCTCCTCTCACTGCCTCGGCCTCTCGGGAGATGGTTGATGGGCGTTTTGCCTGTGTGCTTTGTGAGTCACCACTCCGTCGAGGGGAACTGATTGGACTTTAGTCGGGCGGTCGGTCTGGCGGTTCTTCTTATTCCTCACCGAGTAAACTCAGCGTCGGGCTATCTCCGTGCGGCTTTCATAAGTCCGGTGTGGTTGTTTGGTCCTGAGCTCTACGATTGCGATGACGTAGGACTTTGTAAGCTGCAGGAAGTTCCAGATGTCTGTTGATAGAGTGGGTATCGGAGAACCACGCCTCGAGAGTTAGGCGTTCTGTTTTTGTATTGCCTCGGCCTAAGATGGTAGCCCTCTGGAGGACAAAAGTATGCCCCGTTTCTCCAACGTGTGTTGCTAGAAGAACCGCCAGACCGACCGCCCGACTAAAGTCCAATCAGCTCCCCTCGACAGAGTGGTGACTCACAAAGCACACAGGCAAAACGCCCGTCAACCATCTCCCGAGAGGCCTAGGCAGCGAGAGGAGGGAAAAATCGATCAGCATGAGGCCGGCCAACACAACTGCCACTTTAAATTAAATTTCTGATCGATGAAGTGCATTTTACGCTTTGACAATGAAGAGCCGACCCAGCTCTTTGAAACGTCAGCACTTAAATAAACCTCTTCCGGATAGCCTCTCTTCGTTTTCAAATAATCATCCCGGATATCTCAACTTTACCAATCTGAACTAGTGCCATTGTGCAGTGCACAGCTTTTATTTCTATACTCGAATCGGTATTGCGACGACTGCACGTCCTCTTACTACTGATAATAACACATGTCTAACTTCACTAATTAAATACTTACGATTGCGTAGATAACGACTTACTAAATAACTATATTAGATCTTTGGATTGGTGTGGTTTCCCCTCCTGTAGCGATGCAACTATTCTTCGTGATGTCATGTTCAATGTTTCCAAGGACATCCTAGGGTTTGTGCCGCGTATATATCTCAAGCCTAGTTCTTCAGATTCCCTTGTTCCTCATTTTCTTCACAAGAGACTAAAGTTGAGACGGCAGCTGGATGACCTATCCACTAGTTCCTTATCAGTTCATCTTAGAATCACAGAGATTTTTGAAATGGCCTCAAGGATGCGCCAATCGCCCGTCAGGTAAAGAGAATCACTTGCCCTCAGTGATTTGAACTCTGACGAATTCGTCGCCATCATCTTCCGTCATTGTCCCTCCTCTAAGCGTGGTCACGAACTTCCATCCCTGCTAAATTATAACAAAGTCTTCCCCATCGATGGCACTGACAAGGCGGAGTTGTTTGGTGCTTTCTTTGCAAAACACCTTAATACTGAGTCAGAACCGGTCCCTTTCTTTCGCTCACTTTCAGATAGGACACTGAGTACAATCGGGGTCTCCTCAGATCTCATTAAGAAACTCACACTGCTCAGGAACGGACGGGACTCCAAATTCAATTATTAGACAAGC